GTTTCTGAAATGAATTTGAAATTATAAAGAATGTTTTTATGCCACCCACAAAATGAAGATACTTTAGCAGCACTGTACATAAATTGTATGATAGTTTTCCACTTGCCTTGGAGTTGTGTCATTTGTAGTCTTGAAACCCTCTTTCACTTAAATTTTTCATGACAGTGTATGTTTTGGTTTTTATCCTGATGCTTGCTGTAGGTAGCACTACATTGTTTAAAATGCTCTCCCGAGACAGGTAACTCTTATGAGTTCTGCAGTACGGTGGTCTATGTCCTCGTCTCACAAGGACATAGACATGGAAGATCCCAGGTGAGACAAAAGGTCGGGGGCACAGTTCCTTTCACCTGATGCCCATGTTCACCTAGCAGTAAATATGTTCCCGAGAGTTAGGCAGCTGTTATGGGTTGCATCCTGGGGAAGATCGGTTGACCTCGAAGGACCTTGATAAGTCTGAGTACACATTTCCTGTCCCCAACAATGAGAATTATCATACTTTATATGCATGAAGGTTTTCACTAGACATTAGACAAAAAGAGTATAGTGAACTGAAATGCTTTTGAATAAATAGTGTCAACTAAACTAGAGATTTACGGCACTAGTTAAATTGTTTTGTGTCATGTTTGTTCTATAATGGTTAAGGGTTTCTTAAACTAATGTTTAATTTACAGTACACAATTGCTCCTTATTCTGTTTATGGTTAATTTGGTATGTTTTGGTCATTATAAACATGCCCACTTAAAGGTTTTCATTATAAATGTATAATCAAGATTAAAAGATAAGATATATATATATTACAAGTATTGCCTTAAAATTATTTATATGAAAAGCTTGTAACTTAGAGAAAATTTGGCAAATATCTATTATTATAAAGAGATGGCTCGCTCTAATAAGAGACTACAGTATCATCAAACATAATTTTGCAGTGGCCTTCATGTTTTTCAGAAACAAAATTTCAAATTTTATTTGACTGCATTTTTATTGGCCATGCTAGGTCGATCTTGTGGTCATTTTATGGAACAAAACATGCCCCATATTGCCCTGATTCATAATACTTGTTCAGTAGTACCTTTTGTCAGGAACAGGAAGCTTGTATATATGCATTATAGGCTTGTATGGAAGTCCCCCAAAGTCAAGCTATTAACCCCTCTCCAGGATACAACACCCTACAACAGCTGCTTAACTCCCAGGTACCTATTTACTGCTAGGGAACAGACACATTAGGTGAAAGGAAATGTTCCCAACTATTTCAGTACCACACGAGAATCGATTTGGCTCCTCGGTCGAGAGTCAAGACTGAAGCCAACTATACGTCAAGGCCTTATCAAATTATCTTGTTCCACTCAATCACCTTGATGAATGCCCAGGGGACAGATTCACGAAGCAGTTAAGCAAGTACTTACGAATGTGTACATCTTTCCTCAATCTTTGACGGCTTTGGTTACATTTATTAAACAGTTTACAAGCATGAAAACTTCCCAATTTACTGTTGTTTTTGTTATAAACAGCCTCCTGGTGCTTTGGAATGCATTAACTGTTTAATAATTGTAAATAAAGCTGCCAAAGATTGAGAAAAGATGTACAAGTGCATAATTGCTTCGTGAATCTGGCCCCTGATTGCCAAGGTAACAGCTACAATAATTTCAGTTCCCCATTAATCTCCTTACATCAGTTGCCATTTGACACAATCCTTAGTGAGTGAGATTGATTTCATATGCTGAATCTAAGCTAAAATTCTATTCTCATTGGTATTTTAAATAGTTTATAAGCATACCTTTTATCTATAATATGACTAGTAATATGATTAAAGCTATATAGCCATACTGTCATAGTGCTTACTGTTGACTCTTACTTGGTCAATATTCCTAAGGAATATGCATTAGTAAATTAAGTTGTTTTTCTATTTGTAATGTACTACACTGGAAAGCAGTTCACATTTAAACAGTATGGTGGCTTTACTTCCTAATGAAAGCCAAAATATAATTAAGAAGATCTGAGAAAAATATGTTTTATCTGCTGCCATATTAAAGGATAAGAAATTTGAGCTCTCAATTGTTTGAAGCTGTAACCCATCTTGGTTATATATTCTTGTAAAACTTGGCTTTCTTGGAGTATAATATTGAATGAAACAATTAATTGTGATATTTTATGGTAAGAAAAAATAATTAAGAGCAGACAGCTTGAGGAAATTATTAATGATGATTTAATGTTTCATTTGATTTAATTCTGCAAAGTCAATACTAATGTTATGCACAATATTAAGGAGTGGATAGACAAAAGGCTTAACACAAGGGGAAAAAATACAAATGTAATTTGTATTACATACAAATGCTTTATACATTTGTATAAAATGTAAATTGATGGGAAAAAAGAAATTCTTGAAAAGAAATAACTGATGAGTTTAACCTAACTACCCTATTGTTTATAGCTAAACATAAGGTATCAAGGATACATTACAATGGATGTTTTTATAAAAATCGTAGGATAACCAGTAGTTTTTATTTTTGGATAGAGACTTGGGAGTTAACTTGGTTTGCAAGCTATTAAGATTAGGGTTAAATATATATTGGATCCTGGCAAATGGATTTAGTTCTTTTTATGGTTAATAGTCACTCAATAGGCTCTGGAACAAGTTAAACAAAATACACCATTAAATCTCTGAATGTAGTATTGTTCAAGAAACATGAATTCAACTGAAAATATAATTGAATTGTGTTAATGTGGTGTTATTCTATATGGTTTTAACGCATTCAAATAAAAATTTAGAGCACATGTCATACCTTTTGTAACTTTTGTTCCAAGTCTATGAAAAAATAACACATAAAGAGCAACGCGACTCGTGTGTGTTGCTACACACGAGGAGCGCGTGTAACGCAATCAAACAGTTGTTGTGATGGGCATTTTCTGTGATTGATATAACTGGGGTGTGAATATAAATGCTTGCTATGTGGATTGTATTTTTTGGCAAGTCAATGAATTGTATAAATTCTTCAATAAATAACAAGTAGTAATTCTTTTAATTATGAAAACTCCTTGGAAATACAGTATTGATAAATTCCATTATTTTGTTGGCTTAAGAAATATAAATGGCAATGAATTATAAAATTCTGTCATTTGTGGTCTTTTTTTTTTAAATACAAGAATATTCATGCTATTCCCATGCCTAAAGAAAATAATACCCATTCCTTCACATGTAGGCATATTTTGTTGTCATTTTCCCAATCTTTACTCATACTTCACTGTAATAAGAGACACCTAAATCTATCTGATTAAGTTAGAGTTAAGGTAGCCAGCCCATCCTCTCAAGTTGTAACAACGGACAAAAAATTATGTACTGTAGTAAACTGTCCGAAGCTAACCTTAGGGACCCACACACATAGAAAACATGGTTGTTTGTGAACCGCTATGATTTAGAGTACATTATATTCTATCCATTGGTGATTTTGACAACAAAATTTCAATGTAGTGCTCGAGAGGACAGCTGCAGCAGCAAGATATGTATGATTTAAATATTAATAGTTTTTAACAAGGATGTCATGGATGGAGCTGCCCCAAGTGTATGTCCTATACTCACCTAGTCTGGTCTATCTTTTTCCCATAGTAGAGACTATCACGTCTGTGATAGTCTGGTCTATCTTCAATTGTTTATTCAGGTAAAAGTTCATACATAGAGGATTAGTTACAAACATAATGTTGGATTTATAGATAGAGCTAGTACATATAATACCTAAAGCCACTAATCTTTCACAAGCCACAAATCTTCCCATAGTAAAGAGACTTATCACGTCTGTGATAGCCTGCTCTATCTTCCTCCTGTTATCTGGGACCTGTGTTCCAGATAATGGTAAATCCAAGAAATCCAGTCTGTTAATCTGAACCCCCCTAAGCCAACATACTCACCTTCCCCAGGATGTAAACCACAAAAGACTCTTGGGGTGACTTTATTTACTGACACATGAACAGATGCATCAGGTTTAAGAAAACATTGCCCAAACGGTTCTCTGTCTTACCCGGCTTTGGTAATAAGGCAGAATGATCCCAGGGCTGTATACCCCACAAGTTATCACCAATATCAACAAAAGCTGTCATCAGAACACAAATATAAAGACAATTATTGTAATATCATAGATCAACAGCAACGAAAAAAAAACAAAAAACAAAAATTCTTATTTTCACTACGCAGCAAGATTACAAATAAAATAATCCTCAAAGGAAATGTTTTCTCCATTTATATTTACATAGTGAGTTATCACAGCATCTGGAGGAGAAATAATATTATTTTTACCTTTTATCCAGAAAATATCATTAACCGGATACGCTCGCTGCGCCATGGGGAAAAAAATTATACAAATTTTATGCTTCACCTTCCGGCTTATTTATCATTTCAAATAATAATAATAATAATAATAATAATAATAATACACAGAAACCACAATAGTGTAAGATATCAGTGAGAAAATCCACATTTACAACACCGATTTGGTGATGCAAATCATAATAATAATATTAATAATAATACTACTAATAATTGAAGAGATAATGTTAATTAAATATCTAATTACAATAAAGTATTACATGGCTATTAATTATTACCGTCGAAGCAAACACCCAACGATCATTATATGTTCATACAAGATACAGTATAGAAATAAAGTGACCACAAATTATTCACATCATAATAAATGAGGTTATTGAACCTCATTATAAGCTTCAATACATTATAACGGGTTGAATAAATTTCTGAACACAGTAAAAGTAATACAAATTAGAATACAAAATAAATTTCAAACAAATTACGATACAAAATAAAGACTAATAAAAGCCTCAACAATATTACTAAAAAACGTAATAATAAACAATATTATAAACAATATTACAGATCATTTAAATAATACTGAATCATACCTGAATGTAATTGAAGCAGCTTTCTTGACAACGATAAAGTAATTGATTTAACGAAGTTCAGTATGTTTTGTTCACTATCATTATGTGTTGCATCATCAATCAGACTTACATAATGCTGTCGGTGGACCCCACGATACGGCATAGACGTCTTGAAGGGTCTTTGTTGGTGAACAGGCTTCCACAATGCCGGCACGTTGGTGAACAGGCTTCCATAATGCCGGCACGTTGGTGAACAGGCTTCCATAATGCCGGCACGTTGGTGAACAGGATTCCATAATGCCGGCACGTTGGTGAACAGGCTTCCATAATGCCGGCATGTTGGTGAACAGGCTTCCATAATGCCGGCACGTTGGTGAACAGGCTTCCACAATGCCGGCATGTTGGTGAATAGGCTTCCATAATGCCGGCACGTTGGTGAACAGGCTTCCATAATGCCGGCACGTTGGTGAACAGGCTTCCATAATGCCGGCATGTTGGTGAACAGGCTTCCATAATGCCGGCACGTTGGTGAACAGGCTTCCACAATGCCGGCATGTTGGTGAACAGGCTTCCATAATGCCGGCACGTTGGTGAACAGGCTTCCACAATGCCGGCATGTTGGTGAACAGGCTTCCATAATGCCGGCACGTTGGTGAACAGGCTTCCATAATGCCGGCACGTTGGTGAACAGGCTTCCATAATGCCGGCACGTTGGTGAACAGGCTTCCACAATGCCGGCATGTTGGTGAACAGGCTTCCATAATGCCGGCACGTTGGTGAACAGGCTTCCATAATGCCGGCACGTTGGTGAACAGGCTTCCATAATGCCGGCACGTTGGTGAACAGGCTTCCACAATGCCGGCACGTTGGTGAACAGACTTCCACAATGCCGGCACGTTGGTGAACAGACTTTCACAATGCCGGCACGTTGGTGAACAGGCTTCCACAATGCCGGCACGTTGGTGAACAGACTTCCACAATGCCGGCACGTTGGTGAACAGACTTCCACAATGCCGGCACGTTGGTGAACAGACTTCCACAATGCCGGCACGTTGGTGAACAGACTTCCACAATGCCGGCACGTTGGTGAACAGACTTCCACAATGCCGGCATGTTGGTGAACAGGCTTCCACAATGCCGGCACGTTGGTGAACAGGCTTCCATAATGCCGGCATGTTGGTGAACAGGCTTCCACAATGCCGGCACGTTGGTGAACAGACTTCCACAATGCCGGCACGTTGGTGAACAGACTTCCACAATGCCGGCACGTTGGTGAACAGACTTCCACAATGCCTGCACGTTGGTGAACAGACTTCCACAATGCCGGCATGTTGGTGAACAGGCTTCCACAATGCCGGCACGTTGGTGAACAGACTTCCACAATGCCGGCACGTTGGTGAACAGACTTCCACAATGCCGGCATGTTGGTGAACAGGCTTCCACAATGCCGGCATGTTGGTGAACAGGCTTCCACAATGCCGGCACGTTGGTGAACAGGCTTCCATAATGCCGGCATGTTGGTGAACAGGCTTCCACAATGCCGGCATGTTGGTGAACAGGCTTCCATAATGCCGGCATGTTGGTGAACAGGCTTCCACAATGCCGGCATGTTGGTGAACAGACTTCCACAATGCCGGCATGTTGGTGAACAGGCTTCCACAATGCCGGCACGTTGGTGAACAGGCTTCCACAATGCCGGCATGTTGGTGAACAGGCTTCCACAATGCCGGCACGTTGGTGAACAGGCTTCCACAATGCCGGCACGTTGGTGAACAGGCTTCCACAATGCCGGCATGTTGGTGAACAGGCTTCCACAATGCCGGCACGTTGGTGAACAGGCTTCCATAATGCCGGCATGTTGGTGAACAGGCTTCCACAATGCCGGCATGTTGGTGAACAGGCCTCCACAATGCCGGCATGTTGGTGAACAGGCTTCCATAATGCCGGCATGTTGGTGAACAGGCCTCCACAATGCCGGCATGTTGGTGAACAGGCTTCCATAATGCCGGCATGTTGGTGAACAGGCTTCCATAATGCCGGCACGTTGGTGAACAGGCTTCCATAATGCCGGCATGTTGGTGAACAGGCTTCCATAATGCCGGCATGTTGGTGAACAGGCTTCCACAATGCCGGCATGTTGGTGAACAGGCTTCCACAAGGCCCCACGACAACATACAAACGGGAGGAAGGAAGAGAAAGAAAGAGAAAGAGACGCAGATGAACAGCATAATATAAAATATTTCCACATAACAGCTGGAGATGACTGTGAGAGAGGGTAAGCTGGAGATAGGACTAGATATCAGCTGTGACATACTCCTCGTACGGATTTGACTCGTTGCTTCTGAAAATATGGAAGGATATCATGTTAACAGCAGTCATAAATTTTGGCCTTCGCCACCCCCCCCCCCTTCTCTCTCCCTCCCCCCCCCCTTCTCTCTCCCTCCCCCCCCCCCTTCTCTCTCCCTCCCCCCCCCCCTCTCCCTCTCTCTCCCTCTCTCTCCCTCTCTCTCCCTCTCTCTCTCTCTCTCTCTCTCTCTCTCTCTCTCTCTCTCTCTCTCTCTCTCTCTCTCTCTCTCTCTCTCTCTCTCTCTCTCTCTCTCTCTCTCTCTCTCTCTCTCTCTCTCTCTCTCTCTCTCTCTCTCTCTCTCATCAGATAAGTCGTAAGAATGGCCCACAAGTCAAGAAACATTCCCAAAATATCCCCATAAGGGTAATGAACACATTCAACTAGATTGAAATATAAGGGAGAGTGAATATAACCAGACTGGAGTAAGGGATCATTGCTAGTCCAAAAGGTGAGAACACTGCTATATCCGGAACATTGCTAGATCAGGGGAAGAACATTGCTAGACCAGATCACGGAGCATTGCAAAACCAGGACACGTTACTAGACCAGAAGGAGGGAACGTTGCTAGACCAGGAGGATACATTAGCCCAGAAGGAGGGAACGTTGCTAGACCAGGAGGATACATTAGCCCAGAAGGAGGGAACGCTGCTAGACCAGGAGGATACATTAGCCCAGAAGGAGGGAACGCTGCTAGACCAGGAGGATACATTAGCCCAGAAGGAGGGAACGCTGCTAGACCAGGAGGATACATTAGCCCAGAAGGAGGGAACGTTGCTAGCCCAGGAGGATACATTAGCCCAGGAGAAGGGAACGTTGCTAGCCCAGAAGAAGGGAACATTTCCATACTAACTTCCTTGAGCGTCGTCCCTCTCCCATCATCAAGCTCATGTAGTTCGGATTAGCGTAGTCGTTGGAGGCGGAGGTCGGGGCGCGGCGCAGTTGCTGCTGCTGGCGCTGCTGGAGGGACTTCAGCTGTGGATAGAAGTGTGTACAGCTGTTAGAACTTTCCATGAAAGCGACAGTAGGCAAAATCCTAAATGTTAAAGGAAAAATACTAAGAAACACTCACCTATTTCTGGAAACAGATTAAGAACGGCTCACCTGTTTCTGGAAACAGATTCTGATGGATTCACCTGTTTCTGGAAACAAATTCAGAAGGACTTCTTATCTTGAGGTTATCTTGAGATGATTTCGGGGCTTTTTAGTGTCCCCGCGGCCCGGTCCTCGACCAGGCCTCCACCCCCAGGAAGCAGCCCGTGGCAGCTGACTAACACCCAGGTACCTATTTTACTGCTAGGTAACAGGGGCATAGGGTGAAAGAAACTTTGCCCATTGTTTCTCGCCGGCACCCGGGATCGAACCCGGGATCACAGGGGTTAATAGGGCTCACATGCTTCTGGAAACAAATTCAGGACTCACACACATACTTCTGGAAAGAGATTAAAGACACTTCTGTTTCTGGAAACAGATTCAGGACCCACCTGATCTTGAACAGTGACGCCCCCAAATACGGCCTGGTTGAGAGGGTCATTAGGACAGATTCTTCTGTAACGATCCTCCAGCTCGTCCGTGGCCCAACCTGGATTAAAAAATGATCCACATTGAAGGAAATAAAGATGAGTTCGAATATTTCTGATTACATTTTACGGGATTTATATCTAATAACGTTAATAATAAATCGTCTGTTATTCTTCTTCAGTGTTTTATTACTCTTATTAGGATATAAATCCTCTTAAGAGCCTATAAAGAGAAGGATATGACTTTCTCAGAGACGCCATCTTGCCTATAACTCACCTAGAGACATCATCTTGTATAATGACTGGGTCAGGAATATGTCGTATGGGAGGAAGACACAGATGAGGATGCTGACAGCAATGTTCAGAGCTATCAGAACCATGTACCTCGTATTGCGATTCTGTAGGAGTGAAGGTATACATGGGAGAACGTGGGTGTACATGATGGGAGTATGCAGAAGAATGCGTAGCACGTATAGGACTTGTAATATGTTAACAGATTACATTTTGGGAGAAGTAGCACTAAAATACAAATATAAATTAAAGAGAGAGAGAGAGAGAGAGAGAGAGAGAGAGAGAGAGAGAGAGAGAGAGAGAGAGAGAGAGAGATAGATAGAGAGAGAGAGAGAGAGAGAGAGAGAGGAGAGAGAGAGAGAGAGAGAGAGAGAGAGAGAGAGAGAGAGAGAGAGAGAGAGAGAGAGAGAGAGAGAGAGAGAGAGAGAGAGAGAGAGAGAGAGCGAGAGACGAGAGAGAGAGAGAGAGAGAGAGAGAGAGAGAGAGAGAGAGAGAGAAGAGAGAGAGAGAGAGAGAGAGAGAGAGAGAGAGAGAGAGAGAGAGAGAGAGAGAGAGCGAGAGACGAGAGAGAGAGAGAGAAGAGAGAGAGAGAGAGAGAGAGAGAGAGAGAGAGAGAGAGAAGAGAGAGAGAGAGAGAGAGAGAGAGAGCGAGAGAGACGAGAGAGAGAGAGAGAGAGAGAGAGAGAGAGAGAGAGAGAGAGAGAGAGAGAGAGAGAGAGAGAGAGAGAGAGAGAGAGAGAGAGAGAGAGAGAGAGAGATACAGAGATATAGAGAGTTACAGAGAGATCACAGAGAGACAGAGAGACAGAGAGACAGAGAGAGACAGAGAGAGACAGAGAGAGACAGAGAGACAGAGAGACAGAGAGACAGAGAGAGACAGAGAGAGACAGAGAGACAGAGAGACAGAGAGACAGAGAGACAGAGAGAGACAGAGAGACAGAGAGACAGAGAGAGACAGAGAGAGAGCAGGTACTCACCAATCCCGTACTGGGGTCTGAACCCAATTCAACGGAGAAGGAGGACACATTGTCCTCGCATCTCGTGGAGTACCAGTAGTCATCTTCAATATAGTACTGGTAGGCCATCCCTCCTCACGCCCTGGCGGGAGTCCTCCCCGCTCTGACACACACACACGCCGGAGCCCTGCGGTAGAGGAGATGGCAGCAACACCTAGGACATTAGCGGAAATTACAATGGAGGTGAAAATATTGCACCTATTAACGTATGTACTTTGAGCATTTCTAATTCATATGGTGGACAACAAAGATAAATTTATATCTGATTCTAAAATGTTTTTATTTCAGAGAAAAACACGAATCAAGAAAACTATCTTTCTTGAAGAGAGGGCAAACCCGTTTCCAGTCTTTTAGAGTTTCAAGTGTGGTCCACATAGGGGCTCCCAGGGCAGCACTCATGGCATTGCTTTGTGCTACTTCAAGCTTTTTCCACTGTTGTTTTGATAGGCTTGTGAGTGCAGGTGAGGTGTAGTCGATCACTGATCTGACTGCCTGTACATAATAAGTGCGAAGGACTTCCAGATTGGCTCCTCCAGAGAGGGAGGTCAGCGACCTGAGGATTGCCGTCCGGGCCGCAGTTCGTTCTCTCAAGTAAGTGACCTCAGCATTAAAATTTGTGTCCAGGATTATTCCTTAATACTGATAAGTGTCCACCCATTCAATTGGTTCACCCTGTACTTTGAGTTGGTTGTTGGGCTTCACTATTTTTATGCGTATGGCTTTTGTCTTTGTGGGGTTTAGTTTTGTACCAATCTGCTTTGCCTCTTCACTGATGCAGTCTAAGCATTTGGGTGCAAGGCGCGTCGCAACCCTTCCTTTTATGATGATGACAAAGTCATCCGCATTGTTTAGGAGCCTGCAGTGTTGTGGGAGTTTCAACCTCATTATTCTTTCCATTAAACAGTTGAAGAGAAGGGGGCTGAGAATGCCCCCTTGCGGTGTACCATTTTCATGTCTTTGTACTCAGAGACTGTGCCATGAAGTTTCCCTCTTGCTTCTCTGTTTATGAGACAGTTTTTGGTTCAGGAGAGCAGGTTGCCTCTGACCTCTTTGTCGATGAGGCAGCAGAGAATAACTGGGGCGCTAGCCAGTTCAAAGGCTTTCTCGAGGTCCAGGAATATCAATATTCCTGGTCTGTCGTTCAGATGGTCTAACAGAGTTGTAATACATTCCACTGTGCCAACCCCTCTTCTGTAGGCATACATATCTTAGTGCAGTTTCCACTCAAGTCTGTTGAGTGCCATTCTGTCAGCCGTCTTGGCTGCACAGCTTTGGAGAGAGATAGGCCTAGGATTAGCTGGATCTTTGAATTTTGGGATCGGCACTAATTTAGCTGTTGTTGTTGTTGTTTAAGATTCAGCTACTGGGAACAAAAAGTTCCACGTAGCACGGGCTATGGTGAGCCCGTAGTGGACTTACCTGGCACAGGAACGCTAATTTAGCTGAAGCAACTGAATATCTATATAAAACAGAGCGAGGTGAAGTAAGGTGTCGCTTGGGCTAATAAGCCTTATGCAGTTTCCTTACTGCCCATGTTCTTATAATAAGAACTTGTTTTGGCAACAGGTTGCCAACCAGTAACTCTAACAATTGAAACATCTTGTAAATAAATGCATATAATAACATAAAATAGTATCCAAAAATAATCTACCATATTCGCTCTGCTTTACGTAACTGTTCAGGGGCCAGATTCACGAAAGCACTAACGCAAGTACTTACGCACGTGTACATCTTTCCTCAATCTTTGCCGGCTTTGGTTACATTTAAGTTTACAACAACTTTACAACTGTTGTTATTGTTATAAAACTTGCCAATCAAACTGTTGTTATTGTTATAAACAGCCTCCTGGTGCTTCGGAGCTCATTAACTGTTATAAAAGTTGTAACTGTTTAAAAGCCGCCAAAGATTGAGAAAAGATGTACAGGTTCGTAAGTGCTTGCGTAAGTGCTTTCGTGAATCTAGCCCCTGAAAAAGTGGAGTTGAGCTTTCAGCAGTTTAGTAACTAATGGTGCGTAAAAAAAATTATGCGAGTTTCACCCCCACTAAACAGCTTCAATTCTTTCTCATAGATACAACACATTCTTATGACTTCACTGTATAATTACAAGAAATGCGATAATAATAATTACAGCAATTATTACCAAATCTGAGAAACGCCGTTGACTGAGCAGCCGCCCACACAGTTACGAGAGCTGGTGACCACTGTCCCCGGCGACCACTGGTAATGGTGGTGGAGGCAGTTGGCGCCTGCGCAAGTTCAAGTTCAAGTATGTTTATTGAGACAAGAAAGAAATACATCTCAAAGGGATAGAGTAGCTTAGGCTATTCCTATCCCCCAAAAAGTGGTCCTTCGAACACCACTAGTATACAAAACTGAAGCTAAATAATAATTTATTTATTTATTTATTTATTTATTTATTTATATACAAGAAGGTACATTGGGTTTGTGAGAATACATAGCATAGTATTTACAATCTTGTAAAGCCACTAGTACGCGCAGCGTTTCGGGCAGGTCCTTAATAATCGTAGAAAAGCATCTCAGAACTCAACATTTAGCAATTTGATTTAATAATAAAATTAATAATATTTTATTTATGAGATATACAGAGTGTCACTTGCAGAAGTTACTTAATAAGTATATATTTACATAATTACGCACAACGATAAGAGAGTTTGCTACATATTAAGATTGTGAAAATTGAGACACATTAGGGTATATAATTATTTTTTTATCTGACTGCCATGACTCACCATATAAAATTTCATACTTATATATATACTTTCACAACCTACAAGTCTAGGGTTCGATTCCCGCAGCAGTACATAAGCGCTGCGAGCACACACACAGTAGACGGTCGGAACAATTACAATTTTTTACAATTACAATTATTATTACAAATAATAGAGAAAAAGACGGGTTGTACCACAAGCATAGCTCTCATCCAGTAACAACACTTAGGTAATTACACCCACAGGTTCTTCTCACAGGTAATTCTCACTTACACACAAAGGAGAAGCTTCACAGGTATGCACTAGGCTAGTCCCTGAACTAAAAGGTATGAGTTACGAGGAAAGGCTGTGGGAATTGCACTTCACGTCGCTGGAAGACAGAAGAGTTCGGAGATATGATCACCACATACAAAATTCTCAGGGAAATTGACAGGGTAGATAAGAACGGATTATTTAGTACGGGTGGTAATCGCAAAAGGGAACAAAGGTAGAAACTGAATGCCCAAATGAGCCACAGAGACATTATAAAGAGTTTTCTCAGGGTGAGAGTAGTTAATAAATGCAATGCATTAGGCTGACTCCTTACACAGTTTAAAATGTAGAAATGATAGAGCGCAGTAGGCTCAGCAACCTGTACGCCAGTAGATTGACAGTTGAGAGCCGGGACCAAAGAGCCAAAGCTCAACTTGGTGAGTACACAATTAGCCCCCCACTCCAGGTTCCAAGCTCAACAAGCCACAATGTTGGACAGAAAACAGATGTTTTTTCACCCACAGGGTTATAAACCCGTGGAACCGCCTACCCGCCCAAGCCGTAAATGCCAAAACTCTGTTAACTTTAAAATCCAGCTTGAAAAAATCATCACGATAAATGAGGGGACCTTGGACAAGCAGCCGGCTTCCTGTCCTCGTCGAGGCCACTAGAATGTTAGTGACCCTCAGGCAAATTCAGGGAACCGGTTTCCCTGTACCTCACCCACAGACATAAATACGTTTGTTCATCATTAAATTTATCTTTAATTCCAAATAAAATAACCTGCAAATTAAACAAAAATTTCTGATAAAACCCCTTCTAATTAGAAGTCTAAAAACGTATTTAAATAAAAAAATAGAGAGCGCAACGATAAAAATGTTATCAAACCCGACACGCGGCGGCCATCTTGGCGTCCACATCCCAAAGGAAGAGAGTTTAAACAGCTAAGCGTCACTCCTCCGTTAGCTTCACCAACAGGTAAGAGTCAACAGTGCTTAGTTCCACTAATTACTCAACTGCTCTGCGCAGTTTGAGGCTGAAGTTCAATTTGATGGAAAATGAGGTTGTCCCAAAGATATATTGACTCCCCCTCCCAACCAAACCTCATCCCCCGGATTCACAATATTGCGTTTTCGTTCCTAAAGCAAATATTAATTTGTGAATATTTTTTTTGTTAGTATTTATAGGAGATATTATTATTTGTGTTAATTATTTTTATTTTAGTATTATTTTATTTATTATATTGCTGTCAATTATTTGATTAGACGATATTTTCATTATCAATTGTATTAATTGAATTTCTTTAATCAATGTTCCGGTTGATAAACCATTACATAACGGGTTATGACAAAATAACTCTTCCTCTTATAAATTGATTAGTTTTCGCTCTACGGCAAAATATCGACGTAATTCAAACTGAAAATTTATTTTCCAATTAAATTTTGGAATTTTCTTTCTTCCCAAACAGCAAGTTAAGGGACCTCTGGTAGGTCAGGAGGGCAGGAAGTTCTCCTAAAGTTTCAAAACCTCATGAAAACGGTTAATTGAAAGTTTCATCTCCTAACCTAACCGAGAAAGCCAGAGGACCCAAAACAGAAAACGGGACAGTACGTCACTTTCGCGAGCCGATTTCATTTTCAATTACGTTGATTTTTAGCCCGAGAGCGCATACGAGCGAAAAGCGACGTAATTTGTAAGATGACGGGTTGAGTTACTATTACTTTAATGATTTTATTAGTAATAATTACTATTGTTATATTTATTATTGCTAGTTTAATAAATTATTTGTATTATTATTATTATTTTCTATAAACCATTATTATTTATACTAGTTATTATTGTTAGTATATTTTTGTAGCCATTATTTATTTATTTATGTATTTTGTTATTATTACTATTATGACAGTGGTGGAAATATGTTGGCTCGGCGCATCATTTTGATCATTACTTCTGCACTTGTTCTCTAAGACAACATTCTATCATTGAATGTTGATTTGCACTGCACTTCTGCACTTGTTCTCTAAGACGACATTCTATCATTGAATGTTGATTTGCACTGCACTTCTGCACTTGTTCTCTAAGACGACATTCTATCATTGAATGTTGATTTGCACTGCACTTCTGCACTTGTTCTCTATGAACACTTACCGTTTTCAGCATCTTATACCGGTTTCCAATGTTCTTTTTGCATTTAACAACATTTTTTATATTCTTTTACAAAGTTCCCTTCAATTTTCCATCGTTCTCTGCCGTTCCTACTCCACCACTCTCCCTCACTACTCTCCAACACTCTCCTCTACCACTCTCCAACACACCAACCCATCTCCACCGTCGTAGCGCCCGCAGTAACCCATTTCTCTGACATATTTTCTTCCTCCTTCCACCAACACTACTAACAATCTCCACCACCAGCACCACCACCAATCTCCACCACTGGCTGCAGGGCAACAATGGGCATCCAGTACATAGACCAGACGGTGCAAAACGTCCTCAACAAGAGTGAGGCCAAGGTTAATGACTTCATTCAGAATTTCAACGAAATGCCAAAGCACGACCCGGTGAGTTTAGGGGCGGCCCTCTCTCACTTATTTCCCGGGACCTGGTGAGTTTAGGGGCGGCCCTCTCTTACTTCCCGGGACCTGGTGAGTGTAAGGGGCCCTCTGTCCCTTATTTATCAGGACCTGGTGAGTCTAGGGGGGCCCTCTGTCCCTTATTTCCCGGGACCTGGTGAGTCTAGGGGGCCCTCCCTAGGGACAATCCACACTACATATTTAATATTATTTGTGACAGTTTTAATATTAATTATTATAAAATATTGTTATTATTATTATTATTATTATTATTATTATTGTTATTATTATTATTATTATTATATTATTATTATTATACATAGTTATTACTCGTGTCTCTCTGTCTCGCTAATTCTCTCTTCATTTGTTATCTCCTCCCTCCCGCCCTTCCTCCCCCCCTCACACTCCCTCTCTCTCTCCCCCTCCCTCACACTCCCTCTCTCTCTTCCCCTCCCTCACACTCCCTCTCTCTCTCCCCCTCCCTCACTCTCCCTCCCTCACTCCCCCTCCCTCACTCCCCCTCCCTCACTCTCCCTCCCTCACTCCTCCTCCCTCATTCCCCCTCCCTCACTCTCCCTCCCTCCCTCCCTCCCCCCCCTCACTCCCCCTCCCTCACTCCCCCTCCCTCACTCCCCCTCCCTCACTCCCCCTCCCTCACTCTCCCTCCCTCACTCCCCCCCCCCCTCCCTCACTCCCCCTCCCTCACTCCCCCTCCCTCACTCCCCCTCCTCACTCCCCCTCCCTCACTCTCCCTCCCTCACTCCCCCTCCCTCACTCCCCCTCCCTCACTCTCCCTCCCTCACTCCCCCTCCCTCCCTCACCTTCCCCTCCCTCACCCTCCCTCACCCCCCTCCCTCACTCCCCCTCCCTCACTCCCCCTCCCTCACTCCCCCTCCGTCACTCTCCCTCCCTCACTCTCCTCCCTCCCTCACCCCCCTCCCTCACCCTCCCTCACCACGGGCCCCAACAGACCCTGGAGAGCGCGAAGGAGACGTTGCTGTGGCTGCAGATGGCGTCTCTCCTCACCACCTTCCTCATCGCCCTCACCGCCATGAGGATGCTCCGGCGCCAGGTGCACCACCAAATGGGAGGTGAGCCCCCCCAACTAACCTCATTAACCCCCCCACCCACCACCTACACCCATCTAGATACTAACCTCATTAACCCCCCCACCCGCCACCTACACCCATCTAGATACTAACCTCATTAACCCCCCCACCCACCTACACCCATCTAGATACTGACCTCACCCCCACCTACACCCACCCAGACACTAACCTCACACCCCCACCTACTCCCACCAGAGTGGGAGCACCACAGGACTGTGTTGGCCGCCCTCAAGATGAGAACTTTGGTCATCTCTGCGCGTCGGAACTTCGCCTATGGTGGCGCCTATCTCCCCAAGGTCAGCCCTGTGTCGTGTGTCATGTCGCCTGTGTCGTAGGTGTGTCGTATGTGGCATCTGTTGCGTTGTGTGTCATCTGTGTTGTGTGTCATATGTTTCGTAGCATCGTGTGAGACGTCTGTGTAGCGTTTGTTGACATTTGTGTCGTGTGTGTGTGTATCTGTTTCTTCTATGTATCATGCCTCTATTGTGTCATATAGCCCCGTTTCATATGCCAGTGTTGTGTCATGCGTGTCATATTTCTATGGAGTATTTCCTTATTATTGTGTCATAAACATCAAGTCCTACCACTATTCCTGTGTCATGCCCCACCACCCTCCGTGTCATCCTACAACATCTCCCTATCTCCCCAGGACTAACCCAACATTTACACAACCAGTTACGAAACCTTTGCATCTTTCCTTAACCACAGCGGCTTATTAAATATTTATTAAACAGTTTTATGAGCTCTGAATCACCACGCGGCTGTTTATAACAATAACAACCTTGGGTTGTGAAGTTTCCAAGCTCATCAGCTGTTTAATAAATGTAAACAAAGCCGCCGTGCTTGAGGAAAGATGTACAGGTTTCGTGGCCCGTGTGCTCTGCAGGCGTTGATAGACTCGCCGAGGTCGTCCTTGTACTCGTCGCTGGAGAACGACTACGAGAACCCCGATTACGTGGACATGGTGATGGACTTGAAGGGTGGGAATCCACAGGACGCTCGCAGGCGTTCGGGCGCACCGCGCCGCTCCGGTGAGTCTTATACTCACAGGCGTATGTGAGGTACTCACAGGCGTATTCACATACGTGTGTGAGTATAGTGAGGCATACTAATACACAAACACATGCGTGAATACACACACACACACACACACACACACACACACACACACACACACACACACACACACACACACACACACACACACACACACACACACACACACACACACACACACACACATGCACACATGTGGGCTGGGTGGCCGAGTGGACAGCGCTCTAGACTCGTAGACGTAGACCGGGGTTCGATCCCCGCACCCGGCGGAGACTGATAGCCAGAGTTTCCTTAACCCTGATGCCCCTGTTACCTAGCAGTAAATAGATAACCAAAGAGCCAAAGCTCAACCCCTGCATATATAAATTCAGATTTTATAATTGGTAAAGAATGCTAATAAAAATTCCATTTCGCTTTAATATACATATTTATACATTATATGTATATGTTTGTGTCTATCAGGATGCGACTCCCAGATGTCGGACCCTTATGAGGAGGTGCCTGTGGTACCTCATATCAGTGGTGGAGATGGTACCCCTGAGGCCTGTGAGGAGAAGGTTGGCACCCCTGACCAACCTGGCGACATATATTAGTACCAGGCTCGCTCTCTGTCTCTGTCTGTCTGTCTGTCTGTCTGTCTGTCTGTCTGTCTGTCTGTCTGTCTGTCTGTCTGTCTGTCTGTCTGTCTGTCTGTCTGTCTGTCTGTCTGTCTGTCTGTCTGTCTCTCTCTCTCTCTCTCTCTCTCTCTGAAAGGATGGGAAGCTGCCATTTCTAGATGTAACAGTCACGGAAAGGAGCGGAGGCTTCCACACTGCAGTCTACACTAACGAAACAAAGATAGAAATGTGCCTCAATGCCAATAGTGACTGCCCAGACAGGTACAAGAGGAGTGTTGTTAATGCTTATGTCGACCGTGCTCTCAACCACAGCTCAGGATGGAAGCAAGTCGATGAAGAACTCTAGCTGTAGGGTAAGGCAGTTGTGCAGTTGTGAGCCTAGTCAACAACGGCTTCTCTAATGGTTTTCTTGAAGACATCATAAAAAGAAAGGTGAAACGCCACACAACCTCTGAAGAGTCAATCAACACAACACATGTACCCCCTATTAGACTATTTTACAGGAACTTTTTTTTCAACGGCTCATAAAACGGAGGAAAGGGTCCTGAAAGATATTGTTGATAGGAACGTTATCCCTACAGACAAAAATCAGAAAATATAATTGACGATTTACTATAAAACCATAAAAACGACCAACCTACTTATGAGAAACTCCCCAGACACCAAGCAGAACGCCTTGAAGGATACCAACGTCGTCTATGCCTTCAAATGCCCACTTGGGGACTGTAAGTCCCAAAGAACTCAGTATATAGGCAAGACAACAACGTCTCTTTCCAGGCGATTAACAATGCATAAACAACAGGGCTCCATCAAGGAACATGTAATCTCTTCCCACAACCAGACCATCACCAGAGAAATCTTAACAAACAACACAGAAATCATCGATACAGCGATAGCAGGAGGCTCGACATCTGCGAGGCACTACACATCAAGAAGTCAACACCAGCAATCAACGGTCAATTAATGCACAACTATATTCTACCCACTTCAAGACTCCGAACCAATATAGAAGCATCAAGAGGAAGTGTTGATGTTATGGGCCAATAGGCCTTCTGTAGTTACTTCCATTCTTATGTTTTTATACTCATTGGATCGTGTTCTATCATGTGCAAATGACAATCACCTCACCCAAAACTTTTGTACCATATCACCTCACCCAAATGCAAGTATAAGTATGGATGTATTTTGCGTGTTAACTCTGGTTTCCCTTCAAAACGCATAAATCTTTCTTTCGCCTGCGTGTTTTCAGGTTACAGTTGTGTGTGTAAACTAAAGTCTTTGAAAATGTAATATGTTATTATGCAACGCGTTCAGGCGTCGCGTCAGACTACAAATAAAAATGAATTTAGGAGAATTGATTTTTCATTAACCATTGACAGTGAAAAAAAAACATAAGAAATATTGAGAAAATTCGTGTTAGAATTATTAATCTCTCCTTTTCGGTCACACACATATATATATATATATATATATATATATATATATATATATATATATATATATATATATATATATATATATATATATATATATATATATATATATATATATATATATATATATATATATATATATATATATATATATATATATATATATATATATATATATATATATATATATATATATATATATATATATATATATATATATATATATATATATATATATATATATATATATATATATATATATATATATATATATGTCGTACCTAATAGCCAGAACGCACTTCTCAGCCTACTATTCAAGGCCCGATTTGCCTAATAAGCCAAGTTTTCATGAATTAATGTTTTTTCGTCTACCTAACCTACCTAACCTAACCTAACCTAGCTTTTTTTGGCTACCTAACCTAACCTTACCTATAAATATAGGTTAGGTTAGGTTAGGTAGGGTTGGTTAGGTTCGGTCATATATCTACGTTAATTTTAACTCCAATAAAAAAAAATTGACCTCATACATAGAGAAAAGGGTTGCTTTATCATTTCATAAGAAAAAATTATAGTAAATATATTAATTCAGGAAAACTTGGCTTATTAGGCAAATCGGGCCTTGAATAGTAGGCTGAGAAGTGAGTTCTGGCTACTAGGTACGACATATATATATATATATATATATATATATATATATATATATATATATATATATATATATATATATATATATATATATATATATATATATATATATATATATATATATATATATGTATGTATATATATATATATATATATATATATATATATATATATATATATATATATATATATATATATATATATATATATATATGTCGTACCTAGTAGCCAGAACGCACTTCTCAGCCTACTATTCAAGGCCCGATTTGCCTAATAAGCCAAGTTTTCATGAATTATTTATTTTTCGACTACCTAACCTACCTAACCTAACCTAACCTAACTTTTTCGGCTACCTAACCAAACCTAACCTATAAAGATAGGTTAGGTTAGGTTAGGTAGGGTTGGTTAGGTTCGATCATATATCTACGTTAATTTTAACTCCAATAAAATAAAATTGACCTCATACATAATGAAATGGGTAGCTTTATCATTTCATAAGAAAAAAATTAGAGAAAATATATTAATTCAGGAAAACTTGGCTTATTAGGCAAATCGGGCCTTGCATAGTAGGTCGAGAAGTGCGTTCTGGCTATTAGGTACGACATATATATATATATATATATATATATATATATATATATATATATATATATATATATATATATATATATATATATGAGAATATATATATATATATATATATATATATATATGTCGTACCTAGTAGCCAGAACGCACTTCTCAGCCTACTATGCAAGGCCCGATTTGCCTAATAAGCCAAGTTTTCATGAATTAATGTTTTTTCGACTACCTAACCTAACCTAACCTAACTTTTTCGGCTACCTAACCTAACCTAACCTATAAAGATAGGTTAGGTTAGGTAGGGTTGGTTAGGTTCGGTCATACATTTATGTTAATTTTAACTCCAATAAAAAAAAATTGACCTCATACATAATGAAATGGGTAGCTTTATCATTTCATAAGAAAAAAATTAGAGAAAATATATTAATTCAGGAAAACTTGGCTTATTAGGCAAATCAGCCCTTGCGTAGTAGGCTGAGAAGTGCGTTCTGGCTACTAGGTACGACATATATATATATATATATATATATATATATATAGTCCTGAATAATGTTTCATTATTTTTAACCTGAATTTGCCTGAGGGTTACTATCTCTCAAGTGGCCTCGACGAGGACAGGAAGCCGACGGCTTGTCAAAGGTCCCCCTTATTGTCATGATTTGATCTACTTAAGAGCTTAAATTTCAGCAGTTCCCTGGGTTTATAACCCTGTGGGTGGAAAAGCATCTCCTGTTTTCTGTCCTGCATTGTGGCTTGTTATGCTTGCAATGGTTGCTCCTTATTTGTGTTACATCTGATCTTGTAAATAAGTAAACTGGATCGGTATCCTCAAAATTGCTCAGTATTTTCAAAGTTTCGATGAGATCAGCCCTGTCATGTCTGGTTTGTAGTGTTGTTAGCCCTGTGGCCCTCAGTGCGCACTATGGCCAAATTTGGACGTAATTTGAAATGAAATCGACTCACAAAAGTGACGTACTGTTTTGTTTTCTGTTTGAGTCTTCCAGCTTACTCGGACAGCTTAGAAGAGGATTCTTTCCATTAACGTTTTTCATACCGTTTTTGAAACTTTATGAGAATTTCCTGCCCACCTAACCTATCAGAGGACCCTTAACTTACTGTTGTTGAAAAAAAAATCCCAAATTTATATTTATTTTTTTTTCATTTTCAAATTACGTCCATATTCGGCCATACGGGCAAACGGCCAAAAGCGACGTTCTTTTTAAGAGGACAGGTTGCCTTACTAACTAACTCTCCAGTGGTTGTCAGGCCTTAAGTCCAACACCAAACCACATCAGAAGGTAATTATCAGGATAAAGCACTAACCCACTACTACTATATAGCACTTGGACGGTACATATGGACAAGGATCTGAGATAAGAAAGAGGGAAGAAATGATGCCCAACCACTTAGGCACTTGGCAAGCGCCCTGAGAGCAACTCAAGAGATCCATTCTTCAGCCCTGTAATTCTCTGAATTGAATGTGAGTGGCCCCTACCCAGCAACGTTACAGCATGCTCATGATGGCGACGATACAGAGAGATACAGATAGACAGAGAGATACAGGGAGAGGGAGGGAGAGATACCATCACTTCCGGTGTGTTTACTTCCACTGACAATACCATTACTTCCTTATCACCCGCGTCTTTGGCTCCAAGGCTTCCTGGCGTCACCAGTCGTCTTCTGCCGCCGTGTCTTAGCTGACGTAGCTACGTCAGGGTCACAGGTAAGCTGTTGTAGCTACGTCAGGGGTCACAGGTAAGCTGTTGTAGCTACGTCAGAGGTCACAGGTAAGCTGTTGTAGCTACGTCAGGGGTCACAGGTAAGCTGTTGTAGCTACGTCAGGGGTCACAGGTAAGCTGTTGTAGCTACGTCAGAGGTCACAGGTAAGCTGTTGTAGCTACGTCAGGGGTCACAGGTAAGCTGTTGTAGCTACGTCAGGGGTCACAGGTAAGCTGTTGTAGCTACGTCAGAGGTCACAGGTAAGCTGTTGTAGCTACGTCAGGGGTCACAGGTAAGCTGTTGTAGCTACGTCAGGGTCACAGGTAAGCTGTTGTAGCTACGTCAGAGGTCACAGGTAAGCTGTTGTAGCTACGTCAGGGTCACAGGTAAGCTGTTGTAGCTACGTCAGGGTCACAGGTAAGATGTCATAGCTCTGATGATAGATAAGAACCATCTCTACCTCTCTATAGTATCTTTTCACATAATTGTTATGCTAAGTGTGGGCACGTATACCCCCCTATTCCATCACATTGTATTTATTTATGTTGAATTCCATCAGCCATGTGTTCTTCTATTCATTTGTTTTGAAGGACAAGACAGTCATCTAAGTCTTTCACTCTTCCTCTTCCTGTGATAGCTACGTGGCTACGTCCTCGACTGACAATTGGGGATCCTGGGGTTCGATTCCCGGGCGGGACAGAAATGGTTAGGCACGTATCATTTCACCTGACGTTCCTGTTCACCTAGCAGTAAGATAATAATGATAATAATTGATTCACAAGAAGGTACAATGAAAAGACACTAGCACGCATAGAGGTTTCGGGCAGGTCCTTAATCTAACATAGGGCGCCTGACAGCTGGGTGGTCAGCGCTTCGGATTCGTAGTGAGGTTCCGGGTTCGATCCCCGGTGAAGGCGGAGACAAATGGGCAAAATGTTTCTTTCACCCTGATGACCCCTTTCACCCATTATAATCTACGTGCTATTTACCACCTCATTGCGTATTTTGATTACAGAATCTATTAGAACTTGAATATATATTTACCGTTGGCTCTTACCTCCTCGGCAGGATAAGAGAGTGGAAGTCAACAAGGCAGCCAGCCAGGGAGAGGCAGAAAGAGAGACAGAGAGACAGAGAGAAAGAGAGACAGGCAGACAGACAGGCCAGCAAGCATCACAGCGCGGGAAGCCTCAACAGCGCCGTCCCACAAACTCCGCTGCTGTTAAGTAACAAGTACAGCACCATGAACCCAGACGTAAGTTGCTGGTTGTAAATCTGGTCACGTTGATGTGTGCTGTGAAGGCCCAGCTGGCCGTCAGACCTTTGTGCACACTATTTAATGATTACATTATTTCCCGCGCCTCTTGTGCCCTAGATCCTGACGAAAGGAGGATATCCAACGACCTGCTTCGTGTTTCTAATCCCTCCTGTATCCTAGTCCTCATGTCAGAGCAGCCTGTTATCTTCATTTGCCACTCCGTTAAAAATCCAACCTTTCAGCCCAATCAGGAACGTACGAAGCCTAGCAACCCACATTAATGTATTGAGTCCCGAGTTGTCACTGTTCATAATACGTTGCAATTTGCAACAGTTATTGGTTACGATAACTTGCAAAACCGCGACTCGTTAGTTGAGAGGCTGAAGGAGCATGTCTCCTGCAGGAGGTGGAGACGAGGGCTCTGCTGTGGAGCATCACCTGCGGCATCGTGCTGGTCCTGGCTGTCATGGTGGCCATCACCTGCCTCCTCCTGCGGCACAACGCGCGACACCAACAGTCTGGTGAGTCACGCTTCATGTTAGAGGGCGGGTGGAGAGAGAGAGAGAGAATGTGTGTGTGAAGTAGCCTAGTGGTGTGTAACGAGTGAGTACCCACCCTTCAGGTCGTGCTGGAGGAGGAGGGGTTAAGGGCACCAGCCGACGGGATGCGACCAGACAACGACCCAAGACGATTGACGAAGGTTATATCGAGCCACGCGCCGTCAACCTTACCTCGGGACGACCCCAACCCATCGGGAACCCCAAGATGGCCGACCACCATCCCCAAGTGAGTCAGGGTGCTAGCGTTGCTGTTCTCTTTTCCATATAGCTTTTCCTCTCTTCCATTGGGAGTCATATGGACTCACACGAGTCCATATGCTTCCCAAATGGCGTACCTATTCACAGTAAAGCCTATCAAATGGACTCTCTGTCATAGGTGAGTTTAAAGTAGGTGAATGTAGTCTTCACAGTGCCCAACATCCCTGGTGAGTGCAAGTTCTCAAAGGACGATTCCAACCTCCTGGAGTGAAGTAGGTAGGTTACCTACCCTTGTTTATTGAAGGTTCTTCAAATAGTTCCTCTTTACCTCCGAATAGGTATAAAAAAATATCGAGGTGACTTAGGGGTGGTGTTTAAAAAAAAACCTTCTTACAAGATGATTCCATGAATTTTAAGTGACAATACTCACCCCAGGTGAGTACATTCGTTAGGCGACAAGCTTATGGGGTGTAGGTTAGGGGGGGGGGTGGAGGTTAAGGTGTATGGTAAATGCAGCTGCATTATACGGCTACAGTGATGTGTATACATGTATTAATCAGGGTTGCAGTGTAGCGACTGATGTGGAGCTCTCACATCCGAAGTCCTATCACCCCACTCTCACTTATAACTCCCACACTTATCTCCCCACTCTCACTTATAACCCCCACAACTCTCACCAGGACGTAGCTACACGATCAGCAGAAAGCATCTACAGGAATCAGAAAGAGAGAGAATGATTTGGGAATGGATATAACTCCAACACTAACACCAGAGGTAAACATAAACAGGATAACATCGGCGGCAGATGAGACGCTGGCAAACATTAGAACATCGTTTAGAAACCTAAATCAGGGCTCCTTCAAGGCAATCTACACAGCTTTGTTATACCAACACTGGAATGTGCAGCACCGGCTTGGAAGTCACACCTTGTGAAGCATAAAACTAAAATTAAAAAGGGACAAAGGTTTGCAACAAGATTGGTTTCAGAGCTAAAAGGGTTAAGCTATAAGGATCGGTTAATGAAACTAAATCTCACAATCCTCGAGGACTGAAGAAACAGAGGGGGGATATGATCACAACATACATGATACTAAGGGAAATAAACAAGGACAAGGACAGCCTCTTCAAATTGAGATAAAGTAGGATAAGAAGACATAAGTTTTAGATGGAAAGTGAAAGGCAATGAAAGATGTTGTGGAAGCCACCTTAATCCACAACTTTAAAGCCAGATTTGACAAGGAATTCGAACACTTGGATGGTTCAATTATAACGTAAAGGGTACAACAAGACTGGTAGACGCGGCAGAAAGAGGTAGACCTCACTTAATTATCAGTAGACATTGATAATTATAAATACTGCTAGATAAGTATCTCTCACCCAACACACTTTTCCTTATATATACACTGAAGTGTGTATGTTTCGGACGTGGGTACTTGGGTTAAACTCTACCCACCTGTGTACTCACCAAGCTGATTGATTGATTGATGAAGATTAAGCCACCCAAAAGGTGGCACGGGCATGAATAGCCCGTAAGTGGTGGCCCCTTTTGAGCCATTGCCAGTATCAAGAGATGATACTGGAGACCTGTGGAGGTGCGACTGCACCCTGCGTGACGGGAGATGTCTCCCTCGCCGAGCTGGGCCATGATGGTATATCTATCTGTCAACTCACCAAACTGCAACATGAAACTAAACTGAAGAAACTGCCCGAAACGCTCTGCGTGTTAGAGGCTTTACAAGAATGTAAAAATATCAATGCAATGTACTCTCATAAACCCAATGTACCTTCTTGTCTATAAATAAATAAATAAATAAATAAATAAATAAATAAATAAATAAATAAATAAATAAATAAATAAATGAAGGTATATACTCACTGTGTACTCACCAAGTTGGGACATAAGATTTATAATATAAGCTGAATCTTATTATAAATCTGTGTTTGCCACTCAAGTTACCTCACGTGATAATAGCAAATAATTTTCGGAGATTATTTTGCAAAACCGTCTTTTATCACTAGACCGAAGAATCAGCTAAGATTTTACCTGTTGACAACATGCATCACCCAACAGTCTGACCAATCCAACAATACCATGACAATCAAAACTTAAACGTTCCTCTATGACCAGTAGGCTATTTTTCTCAAAACCATTAGGCTTGACGTTAGGCTACTGTGACGGCCTTCGTAGCCTCACTATCAAAATAGTAAGTAATTTGAGTATGGCTGGTCACTCTAAAACGTGAATGAAATAATCATAATGTAAATATCAAAAGATTATAGCAATAACACGCTGAAATATACAAAAATATATAACAAGTAGCCTGGTCACTGGGTATAGGTGCAGTTTCCTAACTTCTTCCATGTGAATAATACAACTATACATTAGCAAGTCTGGCAAGGCTGAACGAACACTGTGGGGAATCAAGACTTACCTGTCTCATCTATTAAAGCTCAAAGTACTAGCCTTTATATTTTCTTCATGATAGGAGCAGTTTGCGCGAAGGTTTTCTCCCCCTGAAGACTTCCCGAGTGCCAAAGTTGGGCGCCGCGTCAATATTTATGGCTTGGTAAGGCTTGAATGTTGTCTGTTTAGTTAAGACTTGTTTGAGTTGAGAGTGGTGAGCCCCGAGTGTTCCTTGGAGGGGTAAAACGCAAAGCCTTACCATTATATATATATATATATATATATATATATATATATATATATATATATATATATATATATATATATATATATACACTTTCGCCTGTCGGAACAAAACGTCCCTGAAGGCTTCAAGCTGTTGACCTTGAGAGACAAGTCAGATCGTACACAAAACAGTTTCCCCCAACGGATCTTAAAACCTACCTAACTTTTACCATTCTAACCAAACTTAACTCAGCCAAACCTAACACAGCCTAACCTAAACTAATACATTCTAACCTAAGAATATATATACGATTCTGATAATCAGAAATTGAGTTTGGTCGAACTGTCTTGTGTATGAATTGCCCGTATTCCGTTCTTTGTTTGCTAGGGTTACGTTTTCTGTGCGATTGGTCTGGGTTGTGGCCAAATCTAGTTGTTAGTTTTTTTATTGTTAAAACCTATGTGTTGTTAGATTGTGATGTGTTAGCTTAGTTTATGATATATTAGCTTAGTTTACATTATGTGTTAGCTTAGATTATATTTTAGATTAGATTATGATGTGTTAACTTAGATTAGGACATGTTAGCCTCGATTAAGTTACGCAAGGTTAGCTAGGCTAGTTACAGACGTTTGTTATTACAATGTTTATATATTTATAATAAATTATACACTGAAGGTAGGTCTCTTAAAATACATGAAATATTTTAGATATGGGGTATTACAGGATTAAAGAAGAGCTGCTGTTTATTATTAGTATTCACGCTACACAGCTTATTGATTAACCTCATGTATGTCATTTATCTACTAGAAGCGATCAAATAAGAATCCAGTACAAGGATCTAAGATAGTGTATATTTTGTAACAAGATGATGTAACTTGAATCCGACCGTCTGTGTGGTTTAAGTTAAAAAATAATAAAAAATAAAATGTTTATTTAGGTAAGGTACATACATACAATAAATTTTTACAAAGATTGGTTGACTTATAGGTAGAGCTAGTACATACAATGCCTAAAGCCACTATTAGTCTCCGTGGTGTAGTGGTAAGACACTCGCCTGGCGTTCCGCGAGCGCTATGTCATGGGTTCGTATCCTGGCCGGGGAGGATTTACTGGGCGCAATTCCTTAACTGTAGCCTCTGTTTAACGCAACAGTAAAATGTGTACTTGGATGAAAAAACGATTCTTCGCGGCAGGGGATCGTATTCCAGGGACCATAGGATTAAGGACTTGCCCGAAACGCTACGCGTACTAGTGGCTGTACAAGAATGTAACAACTCTTGTATATATCTCAAAAAAAAAAAAAAAATTACGCAAAGCGTTTCGGGCATTGCAAAGCGTTTCGGGCAAGTTGTATGAATGGGTAAGATATGGATAGACTCGATATATTTAGCTAATCCTTTGACTGCTTAATATTTCACATGTGTTATGGGCTCTATATTGAAGGGCACTATAACTGAAGGGGTTAAATTCTCGATTGAAATTCATTCTTGTACTGTGATGTCTGAAACACTGGATGCAATATTTACTTGTTTCTGGAACGTAGCAGCGGAGGAAAGTTTAGTGTGTCCTAGCCTTATTCCGTTTATTGTTTTATCTATTTCTCTACTTTTTTCTGGTGTTTCCAATTATGATAAAATTATGTGAAATATGCAGTCCTCGTGGTGTAGTGGTAAGACACTCGCCTGGCGTTTCGCGAGCGCTTTGTCCTGGTTCGTATCCTGGCCAGGGAGGATTGACTGGGCGCCAATCCTTAACTGTAACCTCTGTTTACTCAACAGTAAAATAGAAAAATGGGTACCTGGTTGTTAAACGATTTGGCGGGTTGTATTCCGGGGAACATAGGATTAAGGTTCTTGCACGAAACGCAATGAGTGCTAATGGCTGTACAAGAATGTAAGAACTCTTGTATATATAAATAAATAAATAAATGAAAATAAAAACTATTTGAGTATGTCCGCGAATTCCGTTACAGAACACCAAATTCTTCAAAAAACTGTTTTAGCATACACTTTTTATATTTTAAACTAGCGATTTATATTACAATAAATTTATAACTTTAGAATAAACTTTGTTTACGACAAAGGTTCATTTGTCAGTTTAAATGTAGACTATTGGTGGAATCGTAATATGCTTTCAGAGTTTCAGACCATCACAAATATCCAAGTGGTTTGAGGGTGGGTGCAATTTCTTATGGTAATGGGTTTGGTCTGAAGACGGCATCCTCTCGGAGCATATACAGTGTGTATAATGTGATAATAAATGTCCCGGTGCACTAGAATATCGGCGTAATTCTTCTTCTTTCTGAACTGGATCTTTCACTGCTCTTATCTGAACCTTCACTATAAGAAGTTGAAGGGCTACTGGTCCATTTTCTCTGAGGGTCCAAAATATACCAACATTTCTGTTGAAAGTCTTCTTCCCGTGCTCTCAAATTCTCAAACTCGTGAATTAACCTCAACCTCGATAAAAGCCTAACGTATATGATGAATACACTCTGGCTTCCTGTCCCCTACACAATGAATTATTAATTTGTATTTCCTTCTTTAATAGACTGAATCACTCACACGAGGACCTGGAAAGCTTCGTGAACATAATTACAAAGAAGCCTCTCGCCTCACTCTTTCCTCCAGACCTCTCACCCCACTCTCCCCCACTCTCACGACACTCTCCCCCACTCTCCCCCTAGACCTCTCACCCCACCCTCCCCCACTCTCACGACACTCCCCGTAGACCTCTCACGCCACTCTCTCTTCCTCAGGAACACTCAAAAAGCTCCTCTCTGGAGGGCCACATATACGACGAGCCCGAACACAAGACCAGTGACAGTCCCTCAGAGAACAAGTATTACAACGCTAGTGAAACATCCTCAGGTAAGTAGATACCTCCTCCTTCACCTCTTCTTCCTCCTCCTCCTCCTCCTCTGGGGAGTAGAAACGTACTCCTCAATAGCACGCATAGCTAGAGAATGAATGGCATAGCATCTAGAGCAAGAGTATAGCCGAAACTACTGCATAGCCACATTCTAAGGAAAACGTTGTGAACAAATTATTACACAAAAATAACACTGAAATATGTGAGATACTGAACAAAGTCTTTCTGGAAGTGTTTAGACTAGAACCTGAACATCTTCCAGAGGCAAAGAACATTACATCCTTGAGTGAGCCTAAGAACTTGAGAATAAATAAAATCGCAGAAGGCCTATTGGCCCACACTAGATAGTTCTTATTTACATTCACCCAAACTCGTGCATGTGTCTAACCTACGCTTGAAACGATCCAGAAGACTGGAAGTTACAGTAGAAGAGATTAGAAAGCATCTTAGGGATTTAGGTGTGTTGAAAGTCAGAGGACTAGAAAGAGGTCTCCCCATATGGATGCTAAAGAATACAGCTGAAACTCTGAGCAAACTTCTCTCATAATCAACATTACTTCATTAGAGAGTGGAGAACTACCAAACAGCTAGAAGACTGCTATGACACTGTAAACGAAAGTAGATAAACAGGAGGCAATAAATTACAACATTGTGTTATTGGCATCTGTACCTTGTAAGGTCCAAGTAACTCCCTAGAATGGACAAATTTTATAACAACGTTTTAACACAAGTTCCCAAACAGAACAGGCTACAAAACGGGTTCCAGGACGAAGAGGGCTGAGCTACGAGAACAGGCTGGGGAAACACCATACTGGAAAAATGGAAAAGCAAGAGGCTACAAAATAACAACAGTTACCATTCTTAGAGACCCCAGATTAGCATCAACGACAGGGCGGGACGACAGGACATGGGTGGAAACTCGAAAGTCAGATAAGACATAGGAACGTTTTCAATCACTTCTTCAGTGTAAGAGAAATGAACAAGTGCAATGAGCAGAAAGAGGCAGGTGTTTGAAGCCTAACACTATACCTAGTTTCAAAAGTATTATAAGACAAAAGTGCGCGGTGAGCCCTTGCCGTTGACGACTGATAGGCGGGGCCCAGGAGATGAAGCTTGCTCTGCAAACAAATATAATACATATATATAAATGCACACATTACACAATCAAACATTTGCCCATGTCAAACAGTTCCTATTGATTCCCAACTATGCTCTCCCATGTATTTGTCCAGCCTAATGTGTTGTTTACACATTCTAATTCTAATATTTTACTAGTTCCAATTCTTAATATAAACTTTTACTCATTCGAATCTAAGCTTTTGATTATTATTATGATGAATTTATTGTTTTAAAACTGTATTAATGGTAATGGAACGGTTTTGCGTATGCTAGACTCGCGTCCAGGACGTGTTACTGAAAGCTGTGGTGTTGCTGAGAGCTGTGGTGTTGTTGAGAGCTGTAGTTTTGCTGAGAGCTTCTTCTCTATCGTTGCAGGTTCTGGGGAATACGAGAGAGTAAGCTACTACGCTAACTCTTAGGCCAGCAGCCTCCTGCTACCCACTGATGCGTCTTGGTTTTAATTCACTCACCCAGCATGAATACCAGTGCCTTTACTCACATTACCACCGCCAGTAAAGCTATAACTCACAAAGTTAACCCAACCATTTCAACTGGTCGGTAGAGCAATGCCCTCGCTTCTTGCAGGGTCGGCGTTCGATTCCCGATTGTCCAAGGTGGGTAGGCTCTGTTCCCACATCCCGTCTTCATATTCCAGCTCATTGTTCTCATATCCCAGCTCCTTGTCCTCATATCCCAGCTCCTTGTCCTCATATCCCAGCTCCTTGCCCTCATATCCCAGCTCCTTGTCCTCATATCCCAGCTCCTTGTCCTCATATCCCAGCTCCTTGTCCTCATATCCCAGCTCCTTGTTCTCATATCCCAGCGCCTTGTCCTCAAATCCAAGCTCCTTGTTCTCATATCCCAGCTCCTTGTTCTCATATCCCAGCTCCTTGTTCTCATATCCCAGCTCCTTGTCCTCATATCCCAGCTCCTTGTTCTCATATCCCAGCTCCTTGTTCTCATATCCCAGCTCCTTGTCCTCATATCCCAGCTCCTTGTTCTCATATCCCAGCTCCTTGTTCTCATAACCCAGCTCCTTGTCCTCATATCCCAGCTCCTTGTCCTCATATCCCAGCTCCTTGTCCTCATATCCCAGCTCCTTGTTCTCATATCCCAGCTCCTTGTCCTCATATCCCAGCTCCTTGTCATCATTCCAGGTGCTCAAATTGTACCAAAATTGGCTTAGTGATTTCTCTTGAAATTTCCTTCCTTTCCTCTGCCGATTTCCTCGACGTCTTAAGAGGAACGCTACCTGAATTTACCTGAGGGGCCACCATATATCTGTCAACCAGCATCTTGGGGGACCACCATCATGGAAGACCACTGTCTTGAAAGATCACACTACCTGAATGAAGAAACAATATACAACACAAGAGGTCCCACCCCTTCCCCCTTTTAAACGCATGGTAGTAATATAGCAAGCTTCCTACTGCCTTGGAAACAATATAAGCATCGCCCCCACATCATGGAAGCAACATATGGATCTCCACATCAACATGAGCATAACGTTAACATAGGAAGCAGCATAGGCAACCCTTCATCTTGCTTAGTAGGAATTCGTACGTACTTAGCTCTTAAATAGTAGTATACTGACTAGTAAGGAATTCTTTTAAAATAAATAAAGCTAAAATACAAACTTAAATATAAGGAGGGTAGAAATAGCCTAAGCTACTCTATCCCTTTGAGATGTATTTTCTTGTCTCAATAAACATTCTTCAACTTAAATATTCCTAGGTCTAGTATAACACACACATATATGTACTATATTAGGCTTCAGATATCGTGTAGTAGGCCTAGGGAGGTTAGGCTACGTTAGTTTAGTTTGTCAAAGCAACACACGTAAAAAAAATAGTTTTCCGGTTTGTCCAACTCAAAAGTTTAGATTTCTACGTTCTAATGTCCTTTGGCAAAATGATAACACGATGGGAAGTCCTACCACCAAGGAATTCCTTAGTGGTCAGGGAGATGTGAGAAGCACATACTTCACATTCACCTATCATCCAGGATAGGGAGTATGTGAGAAGCACATTCTTCACATCCACCTATCATCCAGGATAGGGAGATGTGAGTAGCACATTCTTCACATCCACCTATCATCCAGGATAGGGAGATGTGAGTAGCACATTCTTCACATCCACCTATCATCCAGGATAGGGAGGTGTGAGAAGCACATACTTCACATCCACCTGTCATCCAGGATAGGGAGTATGTGAGAAGCACATACTTCACATCCACCTATCATCCAGGATAGGGAGGTGTGAGAAGCACATACTTCACATCCACCTATCATCCAGGATAGGGAGTATGTGAGAAGCACATACTTCACATCCACCTATCATCCAGGATAGGGAGATGTGAGAAGCACATACTTGCTTAAACATATCATTCATACGCTATCAGCGAAAAAATTGTAATTCTAGATTAATTCTGAATGTCAAATTCTCAATAATTATACTTTACTACTTTGGAAAGATATGGAAAGATATTAATCATAATGTAATAATTATACAAATGATTACCTACAAATATATTTAAGAAATATAAATGTTTGTTCTAGTTTAGGAGGCCTGGTCGAGGACCGGGCCGCGGGGACACTAAGCCCCGAAATCATCTCAAGATAGTTATAATTGTAATTTCAATGATTGAAATTAACCTAAGTGTTACTTCTATATAATTATTAAATAATGTGAAATACTGAAAAAATTGTAAACTGTGTTCTTAGTTCAAATTAAATGTCATAAGTGTATGTCCTTAAGTATTGGGTACGTAATCATGACATACACTTATGTCATAAGTGTATGTCCTTAAGTATTGGGTACGTAATCATGACATACACTTATGTCATAAGTGTATGTCCTTAAGTATTGGGTACGTAATCATGACATACACTTATGTCATAAGTGTATGTCCTTAAGTATTGGGTACGTAATCATGACATACACTTATGTCATAAGTGTATGTCCTTAAGTATTGGGTACGTAATCATGACATACACTTATGTCATAAGTGTATGTCCTTAAGTATTGGGTACGTAATCATGACATACACTTATGTCATAAGTGTATGTCCTTAAGTATTGGGTACGTAATCATGACATACACTTATGTCATAAGTGTATGTCCTTAAGTATTGGGTACGTAATCATGACATACACTTATGTCATAAGTGTATGTCCTTAAGTATTGGCTAAGTATTGTTTGTACGTATAATAATATACAAATAAATATAGCATTCTAATTTAATACAGTTTTACTAATGCTAACCCAGGAAAACTGTTAGGCTACTGTTAATCTCTTTTTTTTTTTGTATCAGACGTTTAGTTAGTATATCAAAAATTTACCTGAATTTTCCTGAGGGCACTAACACTATAGTGGCTTCGACGAAGGCAGGAAGCCGGCTGCTTGTCAAAGTTCCCCACCCTCCCATTTGTCTTGACAATTTTGTCCAGTTGGATTTTAAAGTTCAGCGGTTTACGGCTTCAGCGGGTAGGCCGTTCCATGAGCGTATAACCCTGTGGGTGAAATAAAACATCTGTTTTCAGTCCCATTTCAACTCTATTTTCAATCCTAAATCCTATTTCAGAGTTATTAACCCCTCCTTCCTTTCCCCCCTTGCCCATTCAATGGCTGCGGCGAGTTGATGTTAAATTGTATTTTAGTATTATCAGCCCGATCTCTTGATTTTCGGGCTCACCATAGCCCGTGCTACTTGGAACTTAGTTCCAGCTAGCGAATCTTTAACAACAACAACTCTTGATTTGCTTATACAACCTTATCTTATGGTAGCTTATACAACCTTATCTTATGGTAGCTTATACAACCTTATCTTATGGTAGCTTATACAACCTTATCTTATGGTAGCTTATACAACCTTATCTTATGGTAGCTTATACAACCTTATCTTATGGTAGCTTATACAACCTTATCTTATGGTAGCTTATACAACCTTATCTTATGGTAGCTTATACAACCTTATCTTATGGTAGCTTATACAACCTTATCTTATGGTAGCTTATACAACCTTATCTTATGGTAGCTTATACAACCTTATCTTATGGTAGCTTATACAACCTTATCTTATGGTAGCTTATACAACCTTATCTTATGGTAGCTTATACAACCTTATCTTATCGTAGCTTATACAACCTTATCTTATGGTAGCTTATACAACCTTATCTTATGGTAGCTTATACAACCTTATCTTATGGTAGCTTATACAACCTTATCTTATGGTAGCTTATACAACCTTATCTTATCGTAGCTTATACAACCTACGCATATAAAAAAAACTGTGTGTCTACTTTTCAAAGCAGACGCTCGTTAACCTTAAAAGTTTAATTTTAGCCTTATTTTGCACGTTGGGGACCATAACGTCCAAAATGAGGTGAAGTAGCTCTGAAGATGGGTTTTATAAGATGTGAGATTTTCAGCGCTAATTGGAAATTCATTTTGAATGTTAGGCTCGGTATCCCCTCCCTTTACGCTCCTGTAAACATGGTGTGTATTGTAAACACAGAAGCATGATGTCAGAACCAACCTTGAACGAGGACCATCCATGCACAAGGACCACTCCTGCACAAAGACCACTCAGAGACAAGGACCACTCCTGCACAAAGACCACTCAGAGACAAGGACCATTCATGGACAAAGACCACTCAGAGACAAGGACCACTCCTGCACAAAGACCACTCAGAGACAAGGACCACTCCTGCACAAAGACCACTCAGAGACAAGGACCACTCATGGACAAAGACCACTCAGAGACAAGGACCACTCATGGACAAAGACCACTCAGAGACAAGGACCACTCATGGACAAAGACCACTCAGAGACAAGGACCACTCATGGACAAAGGAGCACCCGTATACGGAGCAATCGATTTCCCTCCATATAAATCCCTAAATATCCGCCCAAATAGCAGCATACTAAGTGGTGATGGTATCTATGTAATCAATAAAACATTAATATATTATAGTCGTAAAGCATCGTATTTTTTTATTATTTTCTACCACAGACGTGGCCACACATTTACAATGCTAACCAGCATATATACATTTTTCTTCTGTCCTCCATGGACAGGGTTAGAGATTTGTTAAACATATAGTTCAAGAGTTTATTGAACAATCAACCACAGAAGGTGATTCGGTGCTTTTAAAATGCTAAGCTAACCTACATACGTAAATACATAGATACACAGATTTACGTATGCCCTACATAAAGTGTTTGATGTGTCTTTTACATAGTGTCAATAATGTGCAAAGGTGAAATGTAATTCTGATCAGCTTCCATATATATTTTATACATATACATGTACATACACACACACATATATGTACATATACATACATATATACAAACACATGCATTCACATACATTTGTCTCTTTTACTCTGACAGGGTGAGATGGCTGATAGAGAAACTAGTGTGCAATTAAGCACGTAATCACTGAAGGTGATTAAGGTGCTTTTACAAGCTCAGGTTATATAGTTACATCACATACATACATTGTATAATTGATACATTACATGCTCAAACCTTGGCTGTAATAATTTTTCCTGCATCATTTTCATTTACACTGTACTTGATTTGCATATTTCTGTGATTAGAAGTATTCTCACTGAAATAATGAGAAACATTCACTGCGAGGAAATTTAATTATTATAATATGTTTAGGGCAGGAAGGGAAACATGTGTAGACGACATTGCTTTACTCTATAAACAAAAACAATCACAGAT